GTGTGTGTGTGTGTGTGTGTGTGTGTGTGTGTGTGTGTGTGTGTGTGTGTGTGTGTGTGTGTGTGTGTGTGTGTGTAATAAATAAATATTAAACATGCGAACCAGCCAGCTAAGGCAAGACCGAGGGTTGTGTTCAAATGAGTTCCTACAAGAGGTGATGCAATCGATATCTTGAGGGATTTTGTCTTCGGTTATACTATTCTTGTGGACGATTTCCAGCATCTTGCACACTCTGAATGAGTCTTGCAGAAGGATAGTTAATATTTTCCTGATGTCTTGCATATCCTATGTACCATATGACACTGACAATATGTGCACAGTTGCCGACAGTTCGAGCGCCAGATTTGCAAGTACAATAATGACCTATCGGATTATCCTCCTCTTCCACTTGGTCATTTTCTCTTTCTTCGAGAGTTGATCGATATGCTATCCAAAGTTGATGTTTTGTCGCGTTACGAAATCTAGAATATACTCTAACTCTCATCAAACCTGCCCAAGGTAGTCGGTCTTATTGTAAAATCTCAATTTGGTATTCTTCATCATCATCTCTACGTAACTTAACTTGCACATATGAAGGAGATATTTTTATTTGATACGTACCAAAAGTGAGATCCCTCAAATGGTCAATTGTTAGAATTGGGAAATCATCTAAGTGTGCTGCATCTAAACAAATCCATCTTTGAGCGTTTCGCCTGTAAAGATTTTTTATTTCTAGAAGTGCTTGAAGAACGTTTGGTTCCTTTGCCTTTTTAAGTAATCGTTGAGCTAATTCAATATTAGCATCTTCCATTGTTAAAGGAGGGTGATATTTATTAATTATTGCACCAGCTATCCGGTAAAAGTCTCCTACATGTGGAACATGTTGGATTTGTACGACTTGAAGAATTTAAAGATTGATTTAATACGTCCATTTCTAGCTTCTACTACTCACCTCGATTTCGTAACTAAACGCGAAGCATTAGCATTTTCAGTGTTAAGTTGATGTTCGCCACGTTTGAGATGTGCTGTCATCTTCCAAGAAATGCCCAAACGATTTAATAATACAGCATCTCGATATCCACGATCAACAATTACAATATCGTTCTCTTGAAACTATTGCCTCATTCTTTCAGCATCTCTATCAAACTCGTTTTGTAAAATAGCAGCATCATTGTTACGACTATCAGAAAAATATGGACCTTGGATATCAAGAATGTAGCCATCGGGTGCAACTATTAAGTGCGGTTTGACTAAATGGCGGCTTTTGTGTACGCAATACGACTATCGTAGTGCTCTGAAATTGGTACTTTTTGGGATGAAAGTGTAAGTAACATCGATGGTTGCAATAATTCAAGGAGTATCAGGCTCCGGGTTATACAACTCATTGGCGAATTCCGTAACATGTCTAGCAATATAAATGTCGCGTGTTATAGCATCAAAGCCAATATTGCTAGGTACAAAACGCAACATCAAAGACTGTCTCACAGTTGCAATAGCCATACTTGTTGCTTGTCTACTCGAATACTGGAACATATGAGTGAGGAATTCATCCGAAAGTCCCTGTCGCAACTTACATAAAAAAAGTAATAGGTCTTTTTTACTGACATATCTGTAACCACGAGCACAAGGGACTCTATTGTAATAAGTGAATAATTCTCGGAATTGTTCTTTCATTAAAGGACAAAAGCTTTTGAACTCCTCATCATTGAAACTATATTCATCTTCTATTCTGGTCATACTTCTAGCTACATCACGTAGACTTTGTAAGAATATTTGGAGTTGTGGTCCTCTTATCAGATACAGTCTATTGACAAAACGTAAACCAAGTAACAGAGGTGGTAGGAGATAACCTCGATCATTCAAATGATGTCTACATGATTTGACATTTTCAGGAATAAAAATATTTCTAGAAATGAAAACATTAGCCTTACACTCCATTGAAAGTCGATATAAATCAAACTGGGCATTACAAATGAAACAAGTACCGTTGTTAGTTTGGGTTACAACATTTAATGTCAAGCAGCCAGGATCTTGTTCAACAACTCTTATCTCTTCAAGAATTGACCGATTGCAATTAAGGCATAGTCGTGTACAATCAGTTACATCCAAAGGAGGCAAATTAAAAGCATTTCGTCTATGAATAGCTATTTTTAGTTTACTAGCATTTTCTTCTCCATCAATACGAGCCATTGTTCTTAAAGAAAATCTTCCATTACAGATGTAACAAAAAAGATTTTGGTTTACCATTTTATACTAACAGAAATGTCACTTTATTTTGATTGCGAGTAGCTGTGAAAACAACTGATTGTAAGTAGCTGTGAAAACAACTGATTGCGAGTAGCTGTGAAAACAACTGATTTTGAGTAGCTGTGAAAACAACTGATTGTGAGTAGCCGTGAAAACAACTGATTTTGAGTAGCTGTGAAAACAACTGATTGTGAGTAGCTGTGAAAACAACTGATTGTGAGTAGCTGTGAAAACAACTGATTGTGAGTAATCGTGATGTCGCGGATCCGACGGGTTTAGCTCCCGTCGGGCAGCGAGCGAGAGCGCTGATTTCGCCCAGCGCAGGGCGCGGTGAGGCAAGGTGAGCGAGTAGAAAAATTGTACACTGTTTCCGACGATCACTTTCTTTATTATACGAAACACTGGGTTCCTCGAGAGTGCAAGTCGACGGCCGAGAAGGTCGAGACGGAGATCTTCCTTGTGCCGACGGCCGGGTCAGCCGATCGCGACGGATATCTTGCTCAGCGTCGAACCGGCGCTCCGCGGACGAAGATCTTGCGCGCGAGCGACGGATATCTTCCGCGTCCCTGGCACGCGCATCCGCGTGCCGTCGAGCTCACGAACTCTCGAGAACTTGAGATTGACAATTGTGATACACAGAGTCACACAGATAAACGATGAGCATAGCATTTAACGCACGAACACAGTTAGTGTATGACCCGCAACACTTCTCGTGAAGCCTCGGTCCAGTTGGCCGTGGGCGGTGATCGCGGAGGCCGCGGAGGCCGAGAACGATAACGCGCGCGCGGCGCGAGCGGCAAGCAGCGGACGAGCTCCGCCGTCTTGCGCGCGAGAGAAGAGAGCCGGCCCGAGAGATTTGGACTCCCGGCTCTCGAGAGAAGTCGCGGCGAGGCGGCGACTCTTGAATCTCGCTCGCGGTTAAGAGCCGCGGAGTTCGCGGTCACGAAAGGATAGCCGGCCCAAGATATGAACTTGAATTCCGGCCTATCCGTCGGACACGCGACGGTTTCGACGAGTCAGTCGAAGTCGACGAGAATCAGCTGATTTGAGAACGGTACGCGATGTGATGCTGTCGACTAGAAGCGCGAGACTCTCCTCGTCGTCGACGAGGGCGGCTATTAACGAAAAAGCGCTTGGCGACAGGTCGCTCGCTGATTGGTCGCGGTTGCCGAATCTTCGAGAAAAATTGCCTTATTTGGTGCGCTTAGTAACAGCGGCGATCTAACGCGCGAGTTGTCTCGCGCGAACGTTTGTTTGTTTGGCCGAGCGGTCGGCATAGCAACCGCGACCAGCGAGCGAAATCCGAGCAGAAAAAACGCGGACTCGCGCTATGGCTAGCGCGAGCCTGTCGCGATGCTGACGATCCTCTCGCGCGAACGTTCTAGAACGTCCGATCGATTACTTCTAGAACATAATCCTCGCTCTCGAACACGTGAAAACAACTGATTTTTTTACCTTGGCAACGCCACG